CGCGATATTCCGGTCCACCGCATAGAAAATACAACAAGTCGTCCATTATATGTAACCATTGTGGACGTCCAAACCATATTAAAAGAAACTGTTATTTTTATAAAAAGATGCTCCAAAGACAAGAAAATCAAGAACGAAACAGAACCCTACAAATTGTTCAAACTGAACAAGAAAAGCCCAGTCATAGCTTTGCTTTCATGGTTGGAATTCACAAATCGCAAACACAAAAACCGCTAACCGAAATCACATTTATCCTGGATTCCGGAGCAACGGATCATCTAGTAAATCAATCAGATGTCTTCACAACTGTTACTCCACTGGACAACCCATTAAAAATATCAGTAGCCAAAACTGGTGTTTCAATCACTGCTACATTAAAAGATACTATCAATGTAACCACAAATCTAGGCGTAGCCGGAGTTCTGGACAACGTCCTGTATGCTGCAGAGGTACCTCATAATCTCCTGTCAGTACGTCGTATCCAGGAAGCAGGTATGACTGTGATTTTCAGTAAGTCAGGTGGGGTAAGCATTAAAAAAGGCAGGAAACTAATTTTGACTGGTAAGTCTATTAAGAATTTAATTAAAATTAGATTTAAAGCAAACAACCCTTGTGTAAAACAAGTCAATGCAGCTACAAATTCATTAATTGAAAATAATGAACTTTGGCATAAACGTTTAGGCCACATCGGAAAACAAAAATTCTTAGAACTTAAGAAACTAGAAGTAGCACAAGGTAATATTAATTTTAAGAAAATTTTTCCTAGTGAATCTATTTGTGAGGCTTGCATTTATGGTAAAGAAGCAAGGCTTGCTTTTCAAAAAGCCAAAGATAAAACTCATATTACAAGACCTTTGTTTATAATAAACTCAGATGTATGTGGGCCTATAAAGCCACCCACTATTGATAATAAAAATTATTTTTTAATTTTTTGTTGATGGATATACCCATTATACAGTCACCTATTTGTTGACATATAAGTCAGAAGTACTTAAATTCTTTCAGGACTTTGTTGCAAAAAGTGAGGCACACTTTAATTTGAAAATTGTAAATTTATATTGCGACAATGGGCGCGAATATCTTTCGAATGAATTTAAAAATTTCTGTGTTCAGAAAGGTATAACTTACCACCTAACTGTACCACATACGCCACAACAAAATGCAGTGGCGGAACGTATGAATCGTTCAATTACCGAAAAGGCACGCGCAATGGTACATGGTGCTGAGTTAGACAAAAGGTTTTGGGGTGAAGCAGTATTAACTGCAACATATTTAATAAATATCACAACAACTAAAGCAATAACCTCAAATAAATTACCTTTTGAACTGTGGCATAACAAAAAGCCCAGGTTAACTGACTTAAAAATTTTTGGTTCCACAGTCTATATTCATAATAAAACCAGAAAGAGTAAATTTGATCAAAAGTCAGTAAAAGGCATAATGGTGGGGTATGCATCAAATGGTTATAAAATATTTGATGTAAATACTAGTAAGTTCATAATAGCACGTGATGTAATTTTTGATGAAGTAAACTTTAAACAGTCAAGGCCACAACTGAACCTTGATGGAACTTTCAATGACCCACCAAATTACAGTTCTGAAATTAATATGCCGAATCCTACTTCTACAGTAGGGAAGTCGCAAGAAAAACTTGCAAAAGTAAAAATACCTGTCACTGGAACAGGGGAATTAAAACCTGTCATTGGAACAGGGGAATTAAAACCTGTGACTACAACAGGGGTACAGATACCTGTCATTGGAACAGGGGAACTAAAACCTGTGAATACAGCAGGGGTACAAATACCTGTCACTGAAACAGGGGAATTTACAATTTTTAATAAAGATAAACATATATCCTCTTCAACTGAACAATCGGGAAATAAAAACGTAAATATTGACTTAAGACGAAGTGAAAGACTTAAAA